GTACCTTAAGACGAAGTGATTTATTAGGAAGGGAGATCATGGGAATATAATTGGATGAAAAAATAACCTTTGAAAAATCAATACGTGCTCTTTCAATGTGCTTTCAATCTTGATCAATCATTATTTGTCAAAGTAGTGCACGTCCAGCGAATAACCTGAACAAATGCCCAAAAATGTATTATGTCTATAGTTGCTCTTGAATTGAGTAATGACAAAAAATTGTGCTCTTTATAGAAAGGCGTCTTTCATCTCCCATCTTGGGTTGAGTGTGTGGCATCAATGTACGCCCTGATGCGTTACCCAAGACCTTCGCACCCCCCCCCCCTCCACTCTCTCCTATCCACTTCTTTAGCTGGTGTGGTTAGATATTCCACTCGCAAGCAAATTGGATGAGACTAATTGTCTTTGATCCATGTTGAATTCTCCGAATACACGGAGAAATTGTATTGCAGTTACCATTAGAATGGGCTCTTATTTGACCCTTAATTTAAATTATAGTTTGCCTATGGTGAATCTTAAGAGAACACCGTGGCTTGCTATATAAATTACCTAGACGATCATAAATCTTCAAGTTAGTTTCGTTATATTTTTTTGCGTCACAGTGTAGAAACTTAGTGTCCCCTTGGAAAACTGTTCGACTAGATTCACTTATCTCTTGACTAATGTGTTTGATCTGGTGCTTTTATCTCTCTCTCTTTCTTGAAGGAATTGATCAATAGTTTAATCACTGTGGCAACCTGTACCAGTCGATTGGAACGGTGGCTTTCTCCAGCGACTCCCTCTAGTGAAGATTTCAACATCCAATTCAAGAATGGCTCTTCAGAGAACGAGTTAGTCCATTTTCATTCACCCACTTGCCTTCTTTCGCTATTTTTCACTTAATATGTGAGAAAATATCTGAAATTAACTAGGTCTATAATCAAAAGCTGGGGTGCGTGATAGACTTACCTCCACGTGGTGCACCCTGGGCAACGTATATTCACACGGCAAAAAAGTCTATTAACTGGCGAATGACTTCTGGCGCAGTACTCATCCTACCTTTTCTCTACTTTCATATCTGTCTCTTTACATCTCTAAATCACTCTTATGTTCTCCACCCCTCGACTTTCTGTTACTTTGATGTTCCTTCCCATCTGTAAAGCCTGAAGTCAGCTAAAGGGCTAATGATAACTATCAAAACGCCTGCCATTTGAAATAAATAAATAATAATCAAAAGCTAATGTAAGTTCACATTATGTGAAACTGTGCAAGATAGAACGTGCCATAGAGGCCACCTCCCGCCCCCCCCCCCACACACGCACACACAATCAATGGGTGTCTTAGTGTAGAGGGGAGTTATAGGATCTGTCAATTAGAAGGCGGCGTAGTCCTAGATGGAAGACGAAATAGGCAGCATTTGTCCAACTGTGGGAAACTGTTTTCGTCATGATGGCTTCATTGTCTAGCTTTTTAGTCGCTTTCAGGAGTAAGATAGTGAAGATGGCCGAGGGTGTAAGTTCTTTGAATTAAGAGGCCTCGAATGTCCCTATTTTTTGTTTGAATGAGGAGTACGTCACAGATGGCTAATCTTCGAAACATTTCAGTATGAAGCTAGTTGATTAAACTGAAATGAGATCATTACCAGCATTGCTAAGGCAAGGCCCAAACCCAAACTACTGAACTCGGTCTTTTCATGGCAAAAAACAACCGACTTGGACTAACTGCGGTACGAAATCTACTTAAGGGATTATTTGGGGCCAAGAGGTTCAATATTGGTGCCATGGCTCAGGTCTCCATTAGTCGCCATCAGTAAATTAAATGTTCCTTGTAGATCTCCCGAAGAGCAGCAAATCGATCGTGTGGCTCAGGAGTACACGAAGTTGCAGCATTTTGTGAAGAAGAGCGTCAACCATCCATTTGTGGAGGAATTGAAACCCGTAAGTCAGACTTCGCCATTTGCCCTACCACTGGATTGCTTTCTTATTGCAAATGCCACTTTATGTTGTGTTTAAGTTATATGCAAATAATTTTCGTATAAACGTTTCTGATGATTGAAAACCAGATTGTTCTGAGGGGCAACTATGGTCATTAGTATTTATTCTTATGCAGTTATCTCGGTATTTTTAATGGTACAGTTCATTATCAATTTAAATTTAATTAATGCTTAAATCCAGTGTGATCTAGATGTCGTGATACTGTGACGGATCTACTAGAATACGGAGTCTGTTTATAAATGAGGTCGCATTTTCCCAACTTCTCGGACTTTAGGTGTTAAGTGTGCTCTTTCGTTGTGCAACGGCAGACTCCATTGGTGGCCTTCTGTTACTTGAGTCATCATATTTGGTTTGAATGACTTGGTTCAAATCTAGATATAGGGTCCTCATTTCAAGACTACCACGTCTAGACGGAGAATGGACTTTGTCCAGGCTATTTGGGTCTTGGCTTGTCCTCCGCACAAACAGTTTTACGTAGCAAAATTTGTGCCATTAAAATAGCATTAAAGGTTATGAGGTAATGAACAAGGTCAAAAAGGTATCCGAAAATCCCTTCCTTCTCTCAATCTCGGCACGACGGCTAATTGAAATCTAAAGTTATTTAGACTCCCCAATAGAACTAAATCCTAACGATTTGCGTCATAGGTAATTACTTGAGCCTTATATTACAGGTGAATATAATACCAAATTATCTCTAAGTGCTGCACGTGATCCCCAATCGGATGATTTAATTAAATTATTTGACTAAAATGTCAGTAGGCTGTTATTCAAATACAAAACCGACCGTCATTAAACTGCAGCTGTTCGTAGTGTCCGAAATATCAGTTAGCATTTTAGCCAGTGAATAATAACACAATGTGACAAGGATGAATAGGGGTAACCATTCAAGTGAACTAACAGATATGATACTAGTTGACACGAAATGGGATTCAATGCTATTCATAGGAAAGTCGATAAATTTTTAGATCGATACAGTGATAAAGGGTTAAACTGTGAATTGCTTAAAATTGTAGTTACAATGCTTGTTTCAACTCATGTGTACCGAATCGCTTTTATTCCATTTATTTATCACATGCTTTAAATGTGTGAATTTGTGTGTTTCTTCCTAAGTGCCACTTTCTCAACCATCAGTAAAAACGCTCCATTAGCTACAATAATAGCAATACGAATTCCAACTCGTAAACAAATTGGGTGCTCCCGTTGAAGGATTTTTACCACACGTGTGTGTATGCACAACCTAATTTTTGCGCACCAGCAATTTTTGCCCTGTCTCAAGCTGTCTCGCTTGCTCGCTGCTGGTCTTTATTACCTACCTGTGCGTCACTCGGGCGTCATTTGCACTCTCCCATTGGTCGGCATCATCTCGCTCCTGGGTTAGAACACGCGCGCACATTGCGGTGTATATGCGTAGGCCTCGTCTGTAGGAGGAATTCGTGCCTTCTCTCTCTCTCTCTCTCACAGCAATGTGTTATCTACCGTTTTAAAATCAAACGCGCATACCTTACAAAATGTAGTGCGTACTTCGAATCGGTGTAGTCTCTTTTGTATGATTGATCGATAAACACATTGTGAAAGTTTGGTAGTGGTAATATATTTGTGGCCTTGGAGGATCAGCCAATCAGGTAGATGACTTCAATTAACATCAGGTCCCGTTTACTTGAACTGGTTGGGGGGGGGGGGGGGGGGGGGGGGTGATCGAATTCTGAGTTTAATGAAAGTGACTTCCTCACTTCTGATTTTGTTAATTCATTTGGTGTTTCGTGCACATCGATGATTAAAGGATGATTTAATGTTCAAACACGACGCTACATCACCGGTGCACTTCATAAAAGACTTATTATTTATAGTGTAAAAATTATTAACTCTGTTTAATGCTTTGTGTATTTACGGTGCGAGTTGTTCTCTTCTTTGATGAACTTATGATTGAATTGATTTTTGCTTAGAAATGTCGTGCGCTGATGGAATTTGTCACTATTTTTTGGATTTTAAGTCAGTTGGAATATACACATATACATGGCAGTTTTATAAATATCGAAGTAATGCATAGAATGTATTGTTTTTGTCATTTCAATTTTGTGTTGGGTCATTTAACGTATCTTATTTCTGTTGATTAATCAAGTGTTCTAGTAATTTCTTATGTTGCCCCTGAGGAAACTGGTCTAATGTATATGGTGACTAGATTATTTGACGTTTATTGAAAGTGCTTTTTCTATTGCTGAGTGCTGTTGCAGAATTTCTTTTTAAGCAACGTATTTGCCAAACCCAATTGCTTGTGTTTGTTCCTTGCTTTCTGGGTCACTGTTTGCCGTAAAAAATCACTCAATGCTATCCTTAATTAATGAACCATGTTTCTATCACCCTATCAGAGCGTTTGGCGATAAGGCGAGTTGACGTTTATCTTTTGCCAATCTTTAAATATACGTTTTTAATTTCGGGAAAAAAATAGGCCCCGTTTATGCATCGTCGCACACTTATGCTATGCTGGGGTGCAATATTTTAGGCCATAAATTGTGGAATAAGTGGAATGAATGATTTTATTGTGGAGTATGCAATTTAATGGACCTTTTCTCAGCTTTGAAGTATACGAGGAATAAGTGTCACGCTCGGTTGGTCTAATATGAAAATAAGTCCTATTTCACTAGACTCATTGGCAAAATATATTGTTTTGAACATCGTTTTTTTCGAATCGTATTTCACGTATTTCTATTGGTCAACGCAGAGAATCCAACAAATAACAACCAATCTTCAGGGTCAGTTGGAGGGTCGTTTGTGTAGTGGACTTGACCTCTGCCACATTGTGCAGGCCAGTGGTCAATTGCATTCACCCGCCTCAACTAAGGCCTCGGCTATTTTGCGTCAAGTTCTCTCAACTTACATTTCCATCGACAAGCTCTCGAGCGCTGTGACTCTCTATCGAAGTCATTGTCTTCATTCTCCACTTTCTAAGGTGAGGAATTCTTTCTTCTATTTAATTGGAAGTTTATATTTGGCAATGCATAACCGCCAATACTGTAGCACTCCTTTTAAGGTGCGGAAAATGTTGCGTTAATTTTTAGTTGGATTATCAAGATAAGCTGTTTCTAAGTCATATAATAACAATTTTTATTGTATTAATATGCAATACTTAAGTTCAATACATTTGACTATTTTAAGGTATATGTGCATATCTATATACAGCCCTCCCTATTTTGAGTGTTGGAAGATGTGTTGCCCTTTCTCTTGAAAAATAAGGATAGTATAATCTCACAATTTCTAAAGACAGTGATTGTGTTTGCTTCAATTTTAAAGGCATTTATCTATTTTCGACTTATTCTTTTTGTATCTACTTTTTCTTATAATTATGGTTACCTCTTTTCGAAGATATTTTCGCCTTGTCCGGAGCTCTCATCAACTGGAGCAGACATTGATGCTGCCGCTTCTACACTCCAGCGAATGTTCAAGGAGGCCATCAATCTACTGGATAGTGAACTCTCACTCTTTCAGGTTCTTGTGTTCAAACGCTTGCATAAGAGGTATTTTTAATGCGTTCACCTTGTTCCCCCCACCCCACCCCCCTCACCCCCCTATTTCTTCACATACTGAATTCTCAAATTCATTTATTGGGAGATCTTTGGGTTTGGGTGACTTCATGTTGTTATTTCTTCATATACCAATATTTATGCAGATATTCATTAACTGTTGTTGTATATCCAACCTATTCATTCTATCCGTTAACCAATCGACTTAATCAAACTTACTAGGGCTGCAATGCGATTTGGATTAATTCCATGAGTGGGTCACTCACTCCTAGTACGCCGATTTCATAATGGTTAACGTCCGAAGTGTGAGGTCACGAGTTGGTGCTCATCAAAGCGTTGCTAAAGCCCTGCTAGCAAATGAGGTGGCAGATTTCTAGTTTCTTATCATGGAGCCTTCATGGTCCTAACCCCCCCCCCTCCCAATACACAGGATAAGTGATGGAAAGTACCTTCCTAAGCGGACTTAACAATTATTTAAGTCAATCTTAGACATCCAGCTTTGCCGTACTATCTTATAGTCGAAATAATCAATAATACTCCACCTTTTGCTTGGCACAGCCTAATGCATACCACTGTTTCCTCGAAAATCCATCTCTTCGAATGCGGAACTCGTGGTGGGTACTGGTTGTACTGACTTGTGCCTCAATACGTCCTAATTATCACTTGACTTCTTAATCAGCCAACTTCCTCCTCGCCATATTTACCACAACCAGCGTAACTTTCGCTCAGTATCGACGCTTCCTCCCCTCTCCAATGTCCTCTTTCCTCCAATTTTCCACTACTCTTGTCCGCGTTTAGTCTTGCAAGGAAATGGCTCAAAGTCCAACTATGTCAGGCCCTTAAATTAGGAGTACTACTTTGGCGGCTTTATTGGCGACTCAGTCGTCAATTTTACACTCATTGCCTTACATTTTTGACTAATTGCACCTAGTCTGAAGAATCTTTCTTACTTTTAGAATGTTTATGTACGCAGAACTGGATTTGACCAAATATTTTGAATGATTTCTATTTTCTACAAGGCTCTGAGAGTCGCGGATACCCCTCCGTGCATTCTTTTGTTTAATCACAGAAGTTAGATGCAATTCACTTCTGTCTTTCATTTTCCCTAGCCTATTTAGATGGTAGAATCTTGCGTTTTGACTGTTCACCTGTTAGCCAAATCAGATGTGGATTTTGTATCTTTTTTCATTGTTAACCGATGGAATAACGTTCAATTTGAATGTCTTCACAATTAGAGGTCACGATTTCGGCACCCACTGGAGCACACTCAGTGACTGAGAGGGATGCGGTAGAATGCGAGTTCCTCATTTGAAGGATTCCTTGGTTCTACTTACCTGCCCACGCTATAGGCGTTAGTAGACACTACCCCCGAATGAACTTGAGATTTATCAGTTAACGTTTCTTTTTTAATTCTGTTTAGCTACGAACCGTTAAGTGAATTCGATGTCATTGTGGACGCCTTCTTCCCTGAAACTGTCGATATTCTCCTCAGTCAACTTCCCGATATCTTCTCTGCTGGCAATCCCGACAAGTTCCATAAGGTAGACCTCACTGTTGGCTGCCACAAGCTTATTAACCTCATCCCATTCACCTAATCTCAATTACACCGTTTTTTAATTGTGTCTAGCTATATAAAATTGGACTTGAATTCCTGGATCTTGTGGAAGCAAGAACGGATTCAACAAAACAGGTCATCAAGTTGAGGCAACATTCCTCTTATGTATCGTTTCTCAGTAAATGGAGCCTCAGTGTCTACTTTCAACTTCGGTACGCCTTTGTTTTACTGTTTAACTACTTATTTTTTCACTTGAAGTGTATACAGCCTTTTCATTGCCTGCTTTTTCTGCTCTGTTTCAGATATCAGGAATGCAATGAGGCTGTCACTGAATGCACCAAGATATTTTTCAAAGCGGCTGAAGACGGTCCCCATGGTATATGCATTTGATTATGGCTGAGGGAGATTTGTGGTTTAGATTTATGGCTGCTTCATATGCTGAGAGAGGAGACGTGGGGTGGGAGATTAAGCTACGCGTGCAATTAGCTGGTCGAAAATTAGTATGACTCATCGGCCGTAAGGGGGATACAGTAACCTTGCTTAATAGATTTCCAAGATAGTATAGGAATCGTGATCTAAATATCGATTTACAATGGCATATTTTATAGGCACGATAAGATAAAGTAATAAATAGGGAGACAGACAGACAGACCAAGAAGTACTAGTTGGAACCCCTTCTTTCCACAATGGGGACTTCGGACTCCAGGAGCACTGATCGTATTTCCGTATATCGTTCATTCTTCCTTCTCATGTTAATCTGCATACTAGCAAATACCACCTTATAGCTGTCTTAATTTACTTTCGATTCTTCGGTAGTAACGCGTTTGGTCGCTCGCTATCAATCCTATATTATGGTGGTAAATCTATCACTTTCCTCCGAAATGTAAATAAATCTAGCTCGGCTATCGTTGTTTATGGACGGATGCTTTTCCTTCGTATCGCTTCAATTGTATTCTCCCTTTACTTCCACTTCTTACCGCACGCGTTCACTTTGATCACCGTGTGCTAACAATATCTACAAACTTTCGATAGGGTTTACTAATTATATCGGGCTAGTATCCTTTTTTGCGTCTAAACACGTGCTCGCACACGCCGGGTTACGTTTTTGCACTTTTTTATTGGTAGTGCCTTCAAGAAACCGCACATTTTTAAAACAGCACTAAAATGTTATGCCTGTTTAAACAAATATATCTTCGGTTGAAACTCCCTCCCATCGCTTCTGTACTTATTCGATCCTCTCTTTGGAAAAGGCTTTCCGTTTTTTTAATTAAAATGCTCATTTAGGCGGCTTTTCACTTCAGTCGCATTTCAAGCTAGCTTTTTTCCGTTCAAGTATTCTCCATGGCCCTGAAAAGGTGGCAATTAGATGGGGTGAGGCCTGACATATGTGTATGATATGGTTAACTCCCCCCCCCTCCCCCCCCCAATTTAACTTCTGTATTCTTTGTGAGGCCATTCTTGATTTGGTGGGGGGGGGGGGGGGGGGGGGGGGGGGTGGGGAGCTGAGTATTGCAATTGTAAAAAATTATCAATTTTAAGTTAGCTAAACGTAGACGTTTATAATTTTAATTCCTGGTTCAGTCTTGCCAATTCTTGGCAATGAATTTCGGCTGTAACTGTTTCGCTCGATTTTAGCTCTTCGTAATGCATTCCACTGACATCCCACCAAATGCATAGATGAAGTCTTCGCAGAGTCAACCTTGGTCTGTGTTTGACTTGAAGCCAAATTGTGTTTTCCCACTAACATTGTCGTAAGCAATCAACTTCTTGATCTCACTATCAAATTGGTGTAGTGTAGGACGAATTCTTTGTCTTGACAGCATAGCGCATTTGTTTATCCACTCAAATTTCGGTAGAGTTGGTACAATGGCATTCAAATTCCCATCCTATTTCATTTATCCATAGGCTTCAAGCGAAATTGCATACTTCACCATGAGAATGTGAGTTTCTGCGATAATTCTTCGATAGTTAACCGAGGAGCTAATTCAACTGGCGACTTTATACGTCTCCACCGAAAATTGTGTGTCATCCTGATTTTGACCCATCTGTTAAGCTTCCTATTCCTGAGTTATATCTTTTAAACCAAAAAAGAGTTCACCATGAATTGTAGTAATGGCTTTAATAACCCTGCAGTCGTTCAATCCCTGGTGATTGACAAGGCAGCATACAATTCCTGGTGCGTTCTTTGTTTGCCTTGGGGTTGGATATTTTGACCCCTAACAATGAAGTAAAATTCATTGCTCATTAATAACGTTGAACACTTTGTTTAATGTGGGAAAAAGGGATGTGCGATAGACTTACCGCCACGTGGTGCACCCTGGGCAACGTATAATTATACGGCAAAAGAGTCTATTAACCGGCAGTTGACATCTGACTCCAAGCTATCATGACCCAACTGTATGTCATATTCGACTCCTTACACAGTACTCATCTCACCTTTTCTCTACCTTTGAGTCTGTCTGTCTCCTCTAAATCTATGAATCACTCTTCTGCTCCACCCCTCGAATTTTTCTCACTTTGATTTTCCGAAGCCTGAAGTCAGCTAATTGGCTAAGGATAAATATTCAAAACGCCTGCCATTTGAAATAATAGTAATAATAATAATAATATGGGAGAAAGTGGGGTGCTGTTTTTTCCTTTACCGTGTCTGGGCGCAAGATGAGCTCAGGCACCTGCTTGTAAATGTACGCTAGGATTCGAGAAATTCAGAAAAGGGTAGTCGTTGGTTCGTTACGGCTTATGCCGAGATTTCAAATCTTTAGACGCCTAGAATAAAGACTTCTCTCATTTAAATTTAACCCTTTTCAGTCAAGTATTTCTAATTAAGTCATAAAGCTAGTAGTATTACTGTCGCTTTTTGTGCTACTAACGAGGTATTACTGATCTGAAAAATGACAATTTGGGCAAATTTAATCAATATAACTCATTAAGTCGTCTCTGGACTGTATGCTAGCCCAGCCATCACTTATTCTGCGTATAAGAGCAGCAATCATAATCTCCTTATGCTGGTGATGATCTCCGTGATTCATCCTGTTGAATATCACGCTCTTTCATGATTATGGCGGGTTCGAGCCCATTATTCTCATCAGGCCTTAGAAATAGGGCGGCTTAAAATATTCAAGGCAGGTGAATGATCTGAAAAAAATAACTAGACAAATACCCTAACACCTTGTGAATGTTGGTTATGAATATTGTCAATTGGGGATGAGGTGATTGGTCGACAATTACATCGAAAACATGGCCCTTTTATTTATAATTATAAATCCCCCATTAATTATTCATAAATTTATATTGACAATGAAACATGTTATTGAATAGTATTCTGGCCTCTTGCAGCTGATTCCATCGATCACGCTTGCTTATATCCCATGAAATCCATTGTTTCCGAGATGGTGGATGATTGCCACATTTTACAATTAGTCTACTTAGCGTTTTGGTCATAGTAAATTTATTTTTTGTATTTTCCTTTTGTAGTCGGTTACGCATTGGCGCTAACTGCTACTATAACTCAACAAATTCAGCGATGTTGGTCAGGTGACGTCTATTTGGACGCCTTGCGACATCGTTTTTGGAAACTCTCTCTTCAATTGGTGAATGTTTATGCCTATTTAATTCCTAAGATGGCTGTTCTCCAAGCGCCTACAACTCTTGAAAAAGTACGCCTTTTTTCACCATTCACTCTTCATTTCCTTCCACATTAGTGAATCGAGGTCGTCAACTCCTTTTTATCTCTTGTAGAGAGGAATCTCTAGTATTGAATCCCTACTTCTAGTCTTTTTCGATGGCAGTCTTTTCCTCAAATGGATTGAGGAGGGTGGTTTGGTGAACCTTGTTCTACCTACACTCCAAAATCAGGACACTGATCCCCTTCCTGAGTGGTTGACTCAGTGTATTGAAGACTCGATAGAGAGGACTAGGAAGTCATTGAATACTGTCAAAGAAAACATTGTTCGCTCATTTGAGGCAAGTTTTCATAAACCATGAAGTAATGTCAAATGTGTTAAATACTTCGGTTTGTTTGCTTACTGCATTAATATCAATTAACCTAAAAGTTAAGAAACCGAAATTATGTTTGAAGCTAATCTTGCAATATTCGACAATCCTATCGATATTAGGGACGGCAGACTGTGGAAATCGGCATTGGATTTAGAATGAAGCATAGAATCCACCCTCCTTACTATTTTTGGTTCCTCTTAATTAGGAAAATGTGCAAGCGCTGACGAAACATGTTCAGGAATTGCCTCGACAATATCGACGAACGAATCGAGAATGGCCTTCTGCACCCTCTGCCTTCATGCCTCGGATTACGCGTCAATTGCAGGATCTGGCACACATTCTACAAGACAACATTCTCACCAAACCTCAAGTTGAAGCCTCTCCTGCACTTCGAGCTCAATTTACGGAACTGTTTGAGCAGATGGTTCTGCAGACTACCAATATGTAAGCCAACTGTCTTGACTGTGGAGACAGCTAATGGAGTATGTGCAGTAGCTCCGCTTGTCTGCGTATGCAGAACTGAATTTTTAGGTTAAGATATTCTGCATAGTGCCGGAATTTGATTGACAGTGTATTTTCTGTCGCGTTCTAATTCGAAGAAGGATGGGGAGAAGGTTTTATCTAAAATCTCTTTATTACCTGAATTCTACTGAAATGAATTTCCATTATGGTAGCATGGGTGTCGTGGTGGTCATCGAATGCATTCACAAAGTCGGAAATCATTTCCTGAACGACATGGTGAGGAAGCTTAATTTGAGAGGCTCTAGTTCTGTTCAACTCCTTTGAGCATGCTTTGATAATCGTGTATTGACCAACCATGATGGGAAGTTCAATCCCTTATAATATACTCTGGTTGCTATTTGGAGCAAAGCTATTTGTAACATTTAGCTCTCTCCTGGCATACCCCCGTAGCCAATGAAGTCAAGATTTGTATATTTGAAATTATTGGTGGGTGGTTATGCACACTTAACTGAGCAGTTATGCTTGTCTAACTATTTATCAGTAGTATTAATTTCTCAATGAAAGGGTGATAAAATTTCTCACTTGTGGGTGTGGTGTTTGAGGATCATAAATTTCTTCATAGTTAATCGATTCCAAAACCCTCTATTATCATTTATTTATTTATATCAAATGGCAGGCGTTTTGATAGCTATCATTAGCCATTTAGCTGACTTCGGGCTTTACAGAGGGAAGGTTCATCAAAGTAGCAGAAAGTCGAGGTGTGGGGAACAGAATAGCGATTCACAGATGTAAACGAGGCAGACAGACACAAAGGTAGAGAAAAAGGTAAGATGAGTACTGTAGAAGGGGTCGAATATGACAAGCAGTCGGGCTATGATAGTTTGAAGTGAGAAGTCAATTGCGGGTTAATAGACCTTTTTGCCGTATGAGTATACGTTGTCCAGGGTGCACTACGTG